GAAATTCTGGAATCTGAGGGTGCAAAAAAATTAAAATATTGAGAAAATCATCTTTAAAGTTGTTCAAATGAAGTTCTTAGCAATGCATATATTACTAATCAAAAATTAAGTGCTGATATATTTACGGTAGGAAATTTACAAAATATCTTCATGGAACATGATCTTTACTTAATATCCTAATGATTTTTGGCATAAAAGAAAAATGGTTAATTTTGACCCATACAATGTATTTTTGGCTATTGCTACAAATATACCCCAGCGACTTAAGACTGCTTTTGAGCTCCAGGGTCACATATTAAACAAAGAATCAGTACCACTTTATATATGAGTATAATATTACAATATGAATAATGTCTCTCTCGCTTTCTTTGTGCAGTTCCCACTATTTTCCTGGGGAAGAAGCCTAAAGAGCGGGAGATGGACTCTAAGAGTCAGGTGATCGAGGGCATCAGCCGGCTCATCTGCTCCGCCAAACAGCAGCAGACCATCCTGAAAGGTACCAGACCTTCATTACAGCCAGAAAACCGCTTTCTTGTCAGCTAAAGCAGAAAACAATATTTCTCTTCCTCCTTTCTCAGTCACCATCGACGGATGCGAATGGAACGACGTGAAGTTCTTCCAGCTAGCCGCTCAGTGGCCGACTCACGTCAAGTATCTCCCGGTGGGATTGTTCGGCTACAGCAAACCGCCCTCCTAGGACGCCCCACTTTCTCAGCCCCGCCCCTTCAACCTGCAACCTACACCCCATTGCACACCACCGCCACCGCCACTTTCACAACGCTGGCCAATCACAGTTGAGACGGGACTCTCATGTGACCGTCTCTGGAGGGCGGGTAGGTGGAGTTGAAGACGGCTTCGATAGACTTTTATCAGCGCTAGTCACTTTTATTTATCAAAGGCCCCAGAGCCACATATGGGGGCCAAGCACAAAATTTGGATACACCACCTGTCGAAGACTATTTAACAGCATGACGCCGCTTAAATCACTCTCAACAACCCTCAATATGTCCCTTTGCGTAACTGATCTCTTCCATCATTGACCTCCATAACCAGTATAATTGAGAAATGCAGCTAAAATCTACCATGGTAACTGTATTTGGAGATAAACTTGCAGTTATTGTCACTCAAGTAAAATCAGCTTTTGGAATCTTTCTGTTACTTAGCAACTAGGGAATTTTGGCAGAAACTATGGTTGCCATGGTAGTTTTTTGTGAACAGAGATTCAAACATGAAAAAAGCGCCAATGAATATTCCGAAATTAGCAAATTTCTCGCCTGTAGTACGAAGGCGGAGTTAAATGCCAATTTGACATTGGAGGCGGGGCTACGAGGTGCCCATCGGCCAACTGAGAAGTTTTTAGATTTCCTAAAAATCATCGTTTGCATAGTTTGTTTTATCCTTCCAGTCGGCGACATCTAGAAATGCGTTGTTGACCTCCAACCTGCATGTCTTAAACTACATCACCCATAATGCACTGGCAAAGTTAACATTTAATGTTAGTTCAGTAGTGCACTGTGTACTTGTGCACAAATCGCTTTGCCTGATGCAGCAGCGGTGTCTCGCGTTCCCCTTGACACACGGAAGGTTAGTAGTTCGCATTGGTTAATCTCTGTTAACTAGAATAAACAATTTCAGTTTAGTTTTATATTCGTTTTTAAACACGCTTTTATGTGTCAGTTATTGTTTATTTTTAACCCTTTTGGCTTAAATATGTAGCTCATCTACAGGTTTTATTTCGTTTCATAAAACATCTCCAAAGATCTCTGGCCAATCGGAATGTAAACATTACGGGACAGAATGAGTCAGTCACCTTTATAATACGGGCAACGGCAAACTCGATTTATGAAAGAACTACGTCGTATCAATCAGCACAAGGCCTGACGTAAAGGCTGCACGAGGTTGGAGGTGAAAATGTCAGCGATTAAGCCAGCAGAATTGGGGAAGATGTAGTTTTATTGCTGTTTTTGGTTCTTGTTCACATCTTTACAGCTGGAAACCGGTTTGGGGAGAACTACAAGGGTTTCATCTTCATCAGTTGTCAAATGCTATGCACTTAAACTCGCCTTCATTTCTTCATTTCTTCATATCTTCGTCCAAAGCACAAGAAGCGTCCAGCTCCTCATACAGAATGCCCAATTAAAACACGATTCACAAACACTACCTTTAAACACTGCAAACACATGATTTTCTTATTTTATTCTTATTTTGTTTTTGTCTTTTCCAGTACAAATATCTAAACAATCTTAAATCAAGATACATTTACTTGAGAAGCAAAATGACTTAAGATGTACTTAATTTTGATAATTTCTCAAAAACCAGTGCTTAATATCTTAAATCATTTGACTTAATCTCGATTTAAGAAGGTTTAGCTATTTGAAAACACTATAAAATACAAAATAGGACAACAATACTGCGAGAATCATTTTTTGCAGTGCAGCTGTGAACAAAACGTCTGAACTGATCAGTAAATCTTGAGCTACAACATCCCTTTATTTTCTAGCTGGAGCTTGTTACATTACGGCTAATGGCAGCTTTCACAGAAGTATCGTGGTTTTATTTTGTCTAGAACTTTTGTGAGATAATCTTGTGAGTGGTAGGTAATGCAACTAACAAAATGTCACTGAAATGTGGTTTTAAAATAATAACAAAACAAACAACAAAAAAGCTATCTATGAAATGGTGTTGTGCCACAGTGAGAGTGAAGCCAGTGTGTAGTGTGTGTCGGTTTGTGCGAGTGTGTGTGTTGTGGACAGTAGTGCTCACTGGTTTAATTAATCTGTGGTGTTAACTGTACGTTCTTCACGGCACAAGATTCGGCGTCTTTCCACCAAGCCGACTTATATCCATTGCAGCTTGAAATGCTGATAAATTATTAATATACAATGATTGTTACATGATTAACCTGTTGAACTCCTAATATTGTTTTTCAAACTGAAAGAGTGAATCTCACAAAAACCCGTAAAGAAATTTCATATTTCACAACAAAATCAAAAGAAAGAAATAAGTTTTGCTTAAAGAAAATTCAGCCAAATTTAGGAACATTTAGGATTTTGTTTTGTGACATGATTGGTATAATTTTATTACAGTAATTTTAAAGTTTTTTTAATTGCATACATCATGGTAGCAATTGTTGCAATAGTGTTCATTTAGGCTGATTTCTAATACAAACATTTGCATTAGTCATTTTTACAATCATTTTAATATAATTATTATTTCGTTTGTTGAGGTGACATATGAGCTGGATGTGAGATTCACCCTAAATCTTTCTAATCTGAGTCAATGTTTTCTGGAATGAAGGTATCAGTTTTTCTGTGGTTAAAAGTATTAAGAACAACAAAGTATTAAAGTCACGATGGGTCAATTAGATTTTTATTTGTTCCTGCTTCTTACAGAGAATGTTTAGCAATAATTTTGAAGTGTGAGTGTCTTTCTTTTGTGTATATTAAATGCATCTCGCCTTTTTTTGCCCATAATCTTAGAAAAGAGTGAAAACATAATTTCTTTGAGTTAATGTTGGTTATCAGTACCGCACTATTAAACAAATATCCACACATTAATAATTTGTCTATAGCAGATAAGTTCTTAATATGTTTTTATATAGCTGTTGCATAAATTGCATTTTTTATTTTATGAATATCTTTGTGATTTAAATCCTATAAGGCTCATAGAAAGATGCATACCGTGGCTGTCATGAGAGCTGCAAGTTATGTCAGAAAGGCTTTTAATATTTCAGTCAGCGATTGTGTCTAGAGGGTTTTGCACAGTCCTGTTGAGGCTTTGATCATTTTTCATTGGATCTGAAAATCATAAATGATTTAGAGGGTCGGCATGTTCACCAAAGCTTACAAAACCTTCTAGAAAAGACCCCCTATAGACGTTGAGCATATAAAGAGAAAAACCCACGCTGAATATTAATTCAAACTAGTTAAAATGTCTGTACTGTTGTTGCACTTGCGGTCCGTGTTTTAAGCTTGCATGATGAGCAAACGCGCAAAAACTTGCAGCAACTTTCAAACAAGCATTTTGAGTTTTAAAAAAACACACACACAATTAATAGCAACTATTTCGGAGTCCAGGTTCAAATTTTATATGGATATGTATTGAATGGAAAAAAGGAGGGGCAAAAAAAAGAGAGTCACTGCCAAAGAGTGTCAACTGTTACATTTTGTTTAGTTTGTTTGTGTTTTTGTATGTATGGAAAATGATTTTCAGTATTTATGGAGCAGTCTGGAATGGGAATGGAAAGTACCGAATTTTGAAATCGATTCATTTCAATATGAAAAGAAAGAGTTTTCAACAACTACTAATTTCCGTTCCGTCACTCGAACATGGACTGTCTCTTTATGTGTGTGCCATGTGGAGTCTGGTCTTTGCCTGTCCTCGTACCTCTGTATGTACTTGTGTTGATTTGTCATGTGAAAGTTCGACAACATGAAGTGGATTTGAACATTCTGATTGGTCGACTAATTATCCCAACGGCCAATCAGAGTGGCGCTCGTCTGCTTCAGATTCTTTTCGTCAATGTAATCTGTTGGAGAGATAAAATGCCTAAATTCCACAAGCTTCGGATTCAAACCGGCCAAATTTAGCCTGCTGTGTAAAGTAAATCATTGCGTAATATTTAGTCGTGGAAGATCAAGAACCGAGCTTGTGGATGAGATAAGTATTTTTGCACATGCATTTGTTATCTTTTAGCAGTCTTCAGCTCTTTGCCTTTTTGCCTTTAGACAAAAACGCTTGTACATATCCAAAGTGCTTGTAATATGAACTCATGTTCCTTTATTGTGTGCTATTTTTTTATTTGACATGTTTTTGTAGTACTGCTTTTTCATAATTGAGTTGTCAATCAATAGATGTGGTATGGACAGTGGAAGTGTTACTTGTATTCTTTTTTTATTTAATAAACACCTGATTTGTAAATTCTCTTATGTAGTTTGTGGATTTTTAGCACAGCAAAATAAGTGTAACTGTTATTTGTGGAACTATTATTTGTCACTTGCATTGCTCTGCCATAGATGTGTTAATATACAGATTAAATATTTTCTGACAGATTTAACGCTCTACTTGTAAAAACGTCCCATAATTATGTGAATAGAGTAAAACGTTCAACTAATATATATTTCCATGATTACATGGTTGATTAATCACCATACATTAAAACTATTGTTTTGTATTACATGTATTTTACGAGTTAAGGCATTTAAATTCACTGATTTGCATACTTTTTTTCAGAATTGTTGCTTCATTTTAGAAAATGGCCAATTTTCTCCATATTTTAGGAATAAAATGCTATATAAAATGTGAATGTTATAAAAACAAACCCCTTGGTAAAAAGTTTCAGAATATAGGTAGGAGTAGAACTGTAAAATTTGTTTCATGTAAATTGAGCTGAAGTGGAGATAGAAACTTATATTTACAAAGCAATATGTATTGTAATTGAAAAATACCGATGCAAATGGATAAAGTGACATAAAAACAAAACAAACACTTAAATATATATTTTGGATGTTTTCTTTCCACTAGTATGAAAGACAAATTAATGTCTAATGAAATGAAAAATGCCCTCATTTGCATACATTTCAAGATATTGGAAACGGCCAGGTTGAGAATTCTTGCTTCATTTTGTTGAGATATTAGAGCTAAACGTTTTTACAGAAGGGCTTTTGGATGTATGTTTTTATCTTTCCTTAATTTACAAAACAGTAAATTTTCACCATATTTTAGAAATACAATGTTATATACCAGATCGTGTGAATGGTATACAAACAAACCCCTCTGTAAAATCCTTTAGAATATAATTACGTGTAAAACTGTAAAATTTGTTTCATGTAAGTTCTGCTGAAGTGGAGATAGAAACTCGTTTTTACAAAGCAATATGTATTTGAAATCTACAGACACAAATGGATAAAGTGACATAACACAAAACTCTTAAATGTATATTTTGGATGTTTTCTTTACACTAGTATGAAAGACAAATTATGGAACCAAATAGCCCAAAATATCTGTATATTTATCTTCCCCAGTTAATTAATCCCCAATAAAACAAATGTTCTATATTACAGCTATTTTAGAAGTAAAGGCAATTTAAAATAAAAATGCACTTTGCATAAATTTCAAGATATTGGGAAAGGCCAGGTTGAAAATTATTGCTTCATTTTGTTGAGATATTAGAGATAAAGGTTTTTACAGAAGGGATTTTGGATATCTGTTTTTATCTTTCCATAATTCAGAAAACAGTACATTTTCACCAAATTTTTGAAATAAAATGTTATATAAAGTCACGTGGATGTTATATAAACAATCCCCTCGGTAAAAACCTTCAGAATATAGTTAGGAGTAAAACTGTAAAAATTTTTGCATGTACGTTCTGCCGAAGTGGAGATAGATCTCATTTTGACAAAGCAATATGTAATGTAAATGGAATCAACAGACGCAAATAGAAAGTGTCATAAAATAAAAACACCTAAATGTGTATTTTCGATGTTCTCTTTCCACTAGTCTGAAAGAAGACATGTCATGAAAGCAAAATAGCTCAAAAGAGTCAAAATAGCTCAAATGTAGCCCAAAACATTAGCATAACGCGTCGACGCCCGGTTGGGGGGGGGCGGGTGTAGTGATGTCAGCGCGCAGGGCTGTGGATTCTGGGAGCACAAACACACACATCAGCCATTTTCGGTTTGCTCTGGTCATTCTCCCTCACTCCAGCACAAAGATCCGCCAACTATCTATCACGCTGAAAGGGACGAGAAGGATGGACGAAGAGAAAGCGGGTGATCGCGCACACGGGCGTTTGTTTTGCTGAGCGTGTCAAAGACAAAAGCGCAGCACTGACGCGCATCTTTACAGCCGACGCGTCGCCGGGGATTCATCTGATTCACGTCTGATATCGTTTTATTGGAGCGAGTCTGGGATTCTGGACGCGTCTGAATCCATAACATCGCATTGTTTGCACGCTTGAGTTCAAGAGAAGCCCGATACAAGCGGATTATAAAAGGTACTTTTCTTGCACGCAATGCAAAAATGATCTGCGCTTTGGTTTTTCATATGCATTAATCATACAATAGAATGCTAAACTAACTTACTGGCTGATTTAATGGAACAAAGTTGAGCCTGATCTGCTAAAAACAAGCTCATATTTAATATCCGAATAGCGCAGAAGACAGTGTTTATATGTTTTATTTAAATAATTATGCCATTATAATTTGTTTT